CCTCCAGCAGCTCCTGGATGCATGCACTGTTAATTGGCTACTGGAGCAGTCCATGGCATCTGTAGTCATAGATATTCTGCTCAATGAATTTTGGCTATCGATTGCCTCTAGATCACCCTCCCCTGTGATTATCTCTTTATAGTCTGGCTTCCACTAGACTCCAGGGTCCAGAGGGCAAGGTCATGACTCTCCCACTTTTCCTTCTATCCCCAGTGACCATAGTAAGCTTGGTATGTTACCTGGAAAATATGTTGAGCATTGAATGATGGCTTTATGAGGACTAGAGGCAAGAAGAAGATCCAAGCCCAGGCAAGTCCTCAGGCTATTAGAATTTTGTTTTTATGAACAGAATGTATTTATTGGGGGAAAGAAAGCTCCTGTCTGAGAGAGGGACAGGAAGGGGGCCCAAGTGGTTGTCCCTGGGAAGCTGTCTCTTCTAGGGACTTTTATAAAGGAAAACCATGTGGTGGGCTGGTCTAAGGTGGTAGAGAAGACATGGAAACTCGCTTAGGTGGGCATGAGGTAGGACAACACTATGGTCAACCGATGAGATTACAAGCACCATTGCTCAGGTCAAATTGATTAAATCCAGTACCAAATGGGGAAGCGAGTCACGTAGCAAGCGGGCTTGAATATGGGACAGGGTCTCTTCCTGTTGGGGGTTGGGATAGTGACTCATTTGGGCTCTTTCAAGGTGATTGATGCTTATTTAGAATATCAATCCCTGATGCCTATCCCTAAGGAAGTATGTAGCTGTGTTTCCTCTTTTGTCTTGGTCTTGAGATGTGGCCCATATGGGAGTGTCTGTCTCTTCCAACAGGCTATTAGGATTTTTTTTTTATTTATATTAGGATTTAAAGTTCAAAATTTTATGATATCTTAAAACCTAAAAGGTTGCAAGTTTATTTTTTTGTTTTGTTTTTTGTGGTACCATGGATAGAACTCAGGACCTTGCGCTTGCCAGGCAAGTGCTTATTCTACTGAGCTATCTCCACAGCCTTAAAACCTGAAAGGCATTGCCATGATCACCAACATGTAAGTCATGCTTCCACATATCCTGCATGGGCAGCCTGAGTGATAATACATGGTGGAGGAAGCAGTGTCCCCAGATGCCATTCAGTCACATGCATCTGAGTGTATCTCTGGGATCCCCAAGTGGTATGGACTAACTCTAGAACTTCCTTCTTCCCCTCCCACAACTCTGTTCAACACATGCAATGTCTTGAGAAAGGTGTTTGTAGGCCATTCATGCAATTAAGCATTGAGGCTGTTGCAAAATCAGGGGCTCAGTTCCTAGTTTCATTTTATCTGCATGTTTTAATAACTTTCTGGGGGCTGTGGCTCATTGTTACTGCCCAGCATCAAGAGAGAGCCTCATAAAGCATATCACTAGCCTGGGAAAATATCAAAATTCAAAATTAGAAGTCCAATTTCTACTGCACATGTATCACTCTCTTACCATGATAAAGTTGAAAAATCTAAGTCAGACCATCCTAAGTCAGGGACCATCTGCATATCCAGAAGCTGCTCCAAATATCCATTGTCTCCCAGAAATCACCTTGTGTGAGGTCCTTCTGGGTTTCCAAGGCCCTCACATTCTCCTTGCAGCACAAACGTAGGCGGTACTAATAACATGTAAGTCAGATTATATCACTTATCTGACATAATCCTCCCAGGGCTGATTCCCCAGTTTACTTAAACCAAAGGCCCTGCCCACCGAGACCTCCTCTCTGCTCTGTTCTCTCTGCTTTTTTGCTGCTCCCAGGTGAGATCCTTTGCTCTAGCCTTTCTCTCTCCAACACTTTTCCAAAGATATCTTAGTTACCTTTTCATTGCTAGGATAAAATACTCAGCACCTATAACTAAAAAGAGGACAAGTTTATTTTGGTTCATGTTTTCAATCCCTGGTAGGCAGTTTCCAAGGTAGCAATGGCCTGAGTGGAGGAGACTTGCTCTTCCTGTGACATCCAGGAGCTGAGAGAGTGGAGGAACCCAGGAGAGAGCTCTGCCTTTCCAGATCATGCCTAAAGTGCCACACCTTTTCCTACCAGGCCCATTTCTAACAGCACGTTCAGTGATGGGTTCACCAGTAGATCAATCTACTGATCGGCATGGGCCCCCTGCGCCAATCACCTTCTAAAAGTCCCACCTCTGAACACCTGAGCAACATTTTAGATCTAAGTCATAATACCAGATAACTTCAGGGCTTTCTCCCTGCTTTCTCAGCCTTGTACACCGTCCTGCATCTGCTTCATAGCACGGTCTCTTCTAGCCACACACTTCCCATGTGTCAGTATCCCATATCCCTTTCCTGTGATCCATTTTTCTTATTACATTTCTCATCTTTAAATATGCCACAACTGGGCCGGGAAGATGGTTCAGTGGAATAAGTGCTTCCCTGGCAAATGCAAGGCCATGAGTTCAATCCCCAGTTCCACAAAATAAATAAATAAATAAATAAATAAATAAATAAATAAATAAGTCACAACCCATTTATTGTATCTAGTCTCTGAACTCCACTGGAAAGTAATCTGTAGGAGGACAAAAAAATTCTTTTTGTTCTCAGTGTTGTCTCTACCAGATAGAATGGTGACTGGCACATAGCAGTTGGTCAATGACCACTTGTTTAATTATCTTGGACTGTAATACTAAATTGGGAGGAAAAAATACACTTGATGGCTAAATCAGAATCAAACATTATTTCAACTTGAATAATACCATATTTAACACCATGAAGGTAATGAGATAGATGTAAATCCCCATAGATGAAAACCAACAGTACAGCTAGAGGATGAGAGCATTTCACAGGGAAACCAGAGGTCATATGTGACTGATTTCAGAACTGAACAGCAAGGACATGTTTTTGATCTGAAAGTCTAGTTGTCATATTAATATATACGTAGTACACAGAACATGATAGGTATTAGTTTCACACTTATTTTTGTAGTTCAAATAATTGGGGAAGAACTGGGTTTATCTCTGAGCCTCCTGGCTAAAAAGGGATGTCAGTAACATTGTCCCCATGTGGAAAAGAGCCACTTTGGGTAGCAGTGGACCATGGTCATGGGAGAAATATTTGTAATAACTCGCTATTCTTTTCAGTGGGAAAAACTCAGGGATGATCTAACTAGCTTCTTTGGATATGTGACAAGTTATCCTGTGGAAGAGTAAACATCCCGTGTTACCTTGGTTCACAGAACTGAGACCAGTGGGAAGAAGACAAATTTCAGATAAGGAAAAGGAAGATAAGTGAATTGGTGGGAGAGACAGAAGTGTGGAGCAGCCGGTCCTAGAGGCAGTGAACCTTGCTGGGAGCATGCAGGAGATTAGGAGCACATATTTGACAGGCAAACATTTCAGGGACTCTTACGACTTCATTAATGCAGTCTCTCTGTGAATCAGACACCAAGATGGGGTGAGATATCAGAAAGATTAGTTTTAGAGCCAGATGGCTCTGGGAGAGCCATCAGACCGCTGTGAAGGCCTGGTCTCTGTGAAGGTGAGAGGGTATGAGAGAGAACAGGAGGGGAAGAATCGGTTGCTGCTGTGCCACTGTAAGGAAGCATGGGAAAGACTGACAGGGAGTCTCTGAGTCAAGGCAACCCACGAGAAGAAGAGCCCCACACCTAGTTGGCATTTGCCTGCTACTCTCAGTCACTGAGAATTGTTTTTGGGGAACCCAAGCGCAGCATCTGAGGTCTTTGTTTAGTTACGCTCCCAGGGCTAGGAACTCTGTCTGAAAGGTCCATTTTCAGAGCCAACATAAGTGCTCTTGTGGGAACAGTGCACCTTGGCCTTCAGAATCTTAGAGCTCACTGCGATTCTGAGGCATCAGCAGGATGCTTCTCATCCTTCTCTATGTGGCCCTTCTGACTAAGAACATCTTTAAGACACCCCATCTGCATCCCCTTCCCCAGCAAAGGCTGCACACAGTAGGTGCTCACTGCATGCACAAGCGGGGTAGAAGGTAACACCTAGCGCCCCCCCCCCATGACCTGCTCACTATGCACTATAATTGCAGGTCTTGGAGGCAATCTATTAATTTAAATTGAGGATAGTAAATTCCACTCAGGCATGGTCCCCAGAGAAAGCCTAGAAAAGTGGAGTTGGAGACAGAACATGACCTTCATCATTGCTGAAACGCTAGGACTAAGCGGAACAGCCCCCGAGCAGAGCACAGACTGAAGCCTCATCCATTACCCACCTCTTCCCCTGGCAAGACAGCCTTCATCTATTATTTCCAGGCTGTTTTGATTCTACTTACATTGTGTGAAAAATGTTGTATCAGGAAATAAATATTATTTCCAAACAGAGATCTCCTAGTCAACTTTGCAGTTCTTGGAATTATTATTCTGTTTCCAAATGTTTGGTTTGAGTATCGTTTCCTCATGTATATTTGTGAACTCTTTATGGAAAATGTCTTCATTTGGAAAATTCTGTCAGTACCTCTGTTGTTGGTCTATGTTCATGTCTTCTTGAAAGATGCTGCCTGTTTTCCTTCTGAATCAAAGCAAAACTTTTCATGCAGTACTAGAAAGAGATATTTGCTGGAATGTTCCTTTCTGTTACACAACTATTTTTGCAGTGAGCAGTCCTACTCACTCAATATCACCTCTTGTCCCAAGGCCTCCTTTGTGCTCAACACCTTCTGTTCCAAAATATTCTACTTTTTTTTTCTCCTGTCTTTTCTTCTTATTCCTTCAGCCTTCTCTTATTTTGAACAGGTCCTTCTCTTTTCTGTCATGACTATACCACACCCTTTCCAGCCCATGTCGATACATGCTTTACTCTGCTTAATTATCATCTTTTCTCTCCTCTGTTACCCAAACTCCATTCATTCTGCAAAACCCATGGAAAGCCCCACAGACCCAGCTCAGCTGATGAAAAAGAAAGGCCGGGGTTCAAACCCAGTGACATTTCACTCCCAACTTACCTCAGAAAGATGACACTTCTACTATTGAGCATCTGTTCAGCTACCATGTCTCTTCCTCTCTCCACAGCCCCCTCCACTGTTCCTATTATGCACCAGGTCAGTGCTACCATGAGGAGCATCACTTTGTCATGGCCACAGCCGGAGCAGCCCAATGGCATCATCCTGGACTATGAGATTCGATACTATGAGAAGGTGAGCCAGCTCTGCCTGCAGTCTTGTAAGATCCAGGGCCAGTTATTGTTCCATGTCCAGTGGAGGGCAGGAGGAGGCAAGCTGGGTGAAGAATCTGGGGATTGATATCAGAAGCTCCCTGGGGAATTAGTTGGATCCTCTCTGGTAAAAGCATCTGAAAATCAGGCACTCTTACACCAGCTCAGAAGAGAATGGTCCCTACTGTCTGTACAGTCCCTGGAGCTGGACTAGACAGGGGCAGACCCTTCTCTAACCACGTATTTCATATAGTGATAGAGATTGCTGCTGTACAACTGCCAGGTCTCCTGAACCCTCAGATTTCATAGTTTTGTAGACCAGTGGCTTTCAAAACTTTTGTTCATGTGCCTCCAATGTGCATTGTCTATTTGTAAATTGATTTACAAATAAACAAACTTATAACAATAAAATGCATATATAATTTCAGTAACATATCTGTGGAGGTTAAAAACTTATAAATGGAGACATGGAATAATGAGATAAAATTAGTAGAAACAGAAATTTATGTCTTCCCTTGTTCTATTGCTCTGCAGCAGCTGCTGCTAGGGGCTATAGCAGGGCGCATGCTATCAAGAAAGGGGGAATGGTACCCTGCAGAGTTAGTCCCTAGCCTACCCACAAAGGAAGAAAGGCCTCTCTCCCACCTGTGAAAACCACAATCACAGAAGTCCCAGGAAAACACAATGCTTCTATACTAACCCAACACACCATTTGCAAAAGTCGCAGATGTTTTCATCCATTTGCTCAACAGATATTTACTGAGGACCTGCTATTTGACAAGTACTGTTCTAGGTACTAGCTGTACTTATTAGTGATCAAACAGATAAGAATTCAGGCCTTAGGGGGCTTACTTTCCAACAACAGGGCATAGATAGTGAACAATGACCATAACAAGGACATTACAGAGGATCTTAGAAAGACAGCAGTATCAAAGAGAAAACAAAAAATAAACAAACAACAGAATAAATGAGGTCAGGAGAGTCAGGCTTGTCAGAGGGACAGATTAAAAAAAAATCAAACAGAATGGTGAAGGTAATTTCTAGAGAAGGGAACATCTGAGCAAAAACCTGAAGAAAGTCAGGTTGAGATGAAGTCCTAACCAGAGGGAAGAAGGGGCAACAACCTGTGCAAGCCCCTGAGGCAAAGCCATGGCAAGCGGCCCAGCAAGCAGAAAGGAAGCCAGCACAAGAGGGATGGCAGCGGCAGGGCCAGTACTGTATTTATGTCAAAGGTGCGTGTGACTTCCTTTGTCAGACTTCTGAATGAATCTGAATTATGAACATTCTCCCAGAATGAAACTTGCTTATAAGTTGGGGGCTTATTGTACTCAAGAAAGATGATCAGGGTTTGAATTGGAGTAGAAGGTGAGGGCTATTGAAGTATAACAGTATATTGTCAAAACAGAATACAAACACTTGGGTGTAGAGGGTTTGGGCTGAGCCAGGAGAACAATGTAGCCGCTGCTGGCTGAGAAGGGAATCTCTGTAGTAAAACAGATTTGAGGGGAGGGAAAGGACAGAATTTCATCTCTGTGTCTAAATTCCCAAATGACAGCCATGCAGAGATGAGGACTAGGAGCTAGATATGCGTATCTGGAGTTCTGGAGAGGAGATCAGGTTGAACATCTGGAAACTGTCAGAATATAGACACTAGGAGAGTTCTGAGCCTCCAGGGGGTCAGCGGAGCTAAGAGGAGCAAGGACTTCCAGCCCTGCATCATGGGACTGTGGTGGATAGAGGGATGGGACTGCATTAGCAAACTGAAGCTCTAGTTTCTAGTGCTCTCTTTAACTAACCAGGCATGCGGCTGTGGCCAAATTACTTAACCATTCTAAGGTCACAGTTCTGACGTCTACAAAGTGGTAGCAGCTTACCTGCCTGAAAGTGGGGGCCCAGATGGACCACCAACCCAGCTTGAGAGGTGTGCCCCTAGCCAAATTTGCCAGCACAGTGGAAGACTGGGCAGAATTCTCTTCTATGTACAGAATATGGGGATGTGTAGACAGTTGGTTCTGTTAATTTAGTCAATCGGAGGGCAATCAAACCATCTGGCATAAGCACCCATTATATCTAATCCACATTAAATTTGGGTCCCTTATTTGCTTGATACTTTTTGACAGTTAATCAAGTAAATGTTGACCTTCCAACACATCTTGGACCAAACTGGACCAATCGATCACATGGTCTCATGGTGTACCAAGGTTGACCTAACCGCTCCATACAGTGTAGCATGAAGTATGGTGTCAGAGTCATCAAGGGTCTGTCCATCCCCCTTACTGTACACATGAGGTTCCAGCTCATGAGTTCAAAATAGCAGCTCATCTCAAAAAATCAATTTATCCCTTCCGAGGACTAGGTAGGTGCCAGGAGCTCTATAAATATTAATTTTTCCCTCACCTCCCTATGTGGGCAGTATTAGTATCATTGTTATAGGTAAAGCAACCAATGCATAAGGAAAAGACAAAAACAAAACATAATAAAAACTACTTGCCTATTGTCACAGTCAGGAAGTGAGACTTAGTTCTTCATCATGCAGCAGGTGGCAGTGTTGGGAAGGGGCAGAATGTACAGGACACTGTCTGTTCCTCCTCTGCCACACAGTAGCTGGGCTGGGGTAAAAGGTTTAATTAAGTACAGGACTAGGACCAAATCATGAGACTCATGCCCTTGTGCTGTGGCTTCCTGCTCTCCAATCCAGCCTAATGCCTCCACAGACTTTCTCTTTACATTTAAATTTCTGCCCTTGAAAGACTGTAATTAACTTCAACTTCTTATAATATAAGAAAGCTTATTTTCCTGTATTAGGCCACCTCCTTGCCTCTCATTAATTTATACTGATTATTAAGATGCAGATACCTAACAGCTCAATGCCTGAGGCAGCATTTTAGAGATATACATCATGGTCCTTACTCCAGAGGATAGAATGCTTTCCACATTTCCCTTGGCAGTGGGCTCTGCTGTAACTTGGATCAGGCACTTTTAAGTGTCTTCTAGCCCAGTAGATGTCCTGGATTTTATCCAAAGAAGCAACCCTCACTATTCCTTCATCAGGTATCACCTCTTCTCCCTAACAGAAGTCCCAGCCCCTCCATCTCAACCAGGAGTCACTAAGTCAGTAGCTGTAGGCAACATATAGCAACAGATGGGTGTTCTGGTAGAGCCTTACTTACAAAATTGATGGCTGGACCATGCTGGTAGTTTTGCACCTTCTGAAAATCCTACCTACATCTCCTGCCCAACATTCCATTCCAGATCGTAGGAGGGACACTTTTCAATTTCAGCTCTGTAAATAGAATCAATGAGGCTTTGGCCTTCTCCAACAGCTTATTAATAGAGAGCTCAGATGCCATCAAGCTGATGACATTCCAAGAGTCTCACCCGTGTTCATCTCCTTCCCCATTTCAAAACATTTCCATTCATCATTCTCTCTTGTTTACTGTCTTGTAGCACTTTTCACTCCCAGTATCAACGCTCATAGGCAAACCATGGGAGGAGCACTTGCATCTGCTCTCAGCTGTCCTAATGATTAAATGCTTCCATTGGACTGGCGCTGCATCATAACTGTCAAGGCTAGGACAGGGTGGTTTAGGTTTGGGAGTTTCTACCCTTCAAATTTCAAGATCATTTGCTCACAGAAACTCAGATCGTGGTAATAGCTCCTGCTCCATCAACTGGTTCAGATAACTATGCCACAGTGTGCTGCTTATTCATATCCTTAGCAGAGTCATTGGGAGCCCAGCACACTGTGCTGTGTGCTGCAGTGCTGGGGATAAAGAGAGAAGAACAATATAACCACTGCCGTCACCAGCTGCAGCCTCTGTCTCCACACACACATAATAAAATCAGTCAACACCTACCTTGCTCATGGCTCTCCCTCATTTGCCTGCAATTGATTAATGACATGGTGGGAGACGAGAACGGATACTCATTCTAATCACTGAACTTCTTCAGGAATGTGTTAACGATAAAGTGGTTATGGGTTAATGTATCAAAATATGTTTTGTTCAGTAAAAGTTATCCAGCCAGTGCTTTACTTATTTCAAATAGTGCAAGATTCCATCTGATTCCAGCAAAACCAGAGGATTCCCAGAGCTGCCTGGATTTTGTAGCAATGGGGTTTTATTCTTACGTGCACAATGAAGAGGCTTTCATAGTTTCAGACTTCAAGTTCTAGATGACATCCCCTCTGTGCTAAGCAGCCCCCTTTCAGCTGAATCTCTGGTTGGTGGGAAGAGTATGTGGGTGATTCCCCTGCTGTTTGCACAGGTCAAATGATGGGTGCATAGTGGTGCCCCAGGCAGGCTCTTCCAGAGGTCATGAAGATAAAGATAGGCCTTTTTGTAAGGTTCAATATCAGCTGGAGCTAACCTGAAATTGCTGATCCCCTGAGACTGCTTCTGAATCACCACCTTGGTTCAGCTACCTGGTTGTATGCTGCCCACACTTGAGATACACTAACCACTCAAAGGCTCTGCCCCCCTCCAGACCTTGCTTTTGCATGTTTTATTTTGTTCTCCATATCCACAGATGGCCATGTGGATCAGTTTTGTGTCTTTCATGACCGGACTCGTGCCACTCTTTTGCTTCTGTAGAATAGTTCTCTTTGGATGTCTGGGCTTGTCTGTCCCCTTGATAGGCATCCCACAGCTCCCTGAGCTGCAATCAATACTGCTGTCATCTTCTGTTTATTTTCTAATCTACCCCACAAGATGTTGTGTCCTTAGAAGAGAGGGACCGTGCCTCTGCAGTCACAGCTCATGCACAGCACCAAGATCTGCAAGTGTGTCATAAATGTAGCTGTCTGACTGAATGAGTGCCTGAATATACCTCAGGTCATCTCTGCTTTTGCAAAGTAGATATTTACATATCTTAAGACAATGGGAATTTCTTATTAATTTACTTGATTGTGTGCCCTAGCTCAATGACCTGTGTTCTTTCTGTCATTTAACTGAGGGTGTGATTTTCAGACCTCAGGGCTTATCGCCTCATGATTTACAGTCGTGTGCCACTTTCTTCTTATTTGTTATATTGCCTCTTGAACCACTGTGATCAGAACATATAATAGTATCCTAGATCTTCACAGGGGAGCTACAGATCTCCCTGCAGTGACTCAAGCTCTTCATTTTCACCGAGGTCATCATCTCACTCCAGTATTCATTATGCACACAAAGGAAGGCACGGATGCTAGCGCTAAGTTCTTGTTTCCTCACACTTGGAGGGAACCCAACAGCTTTGCAGAGAAAAGCTATGTTCACATGAAAACAAGGAGAAACCAGGCTGGTATCTAAGGGGCTGTGAGTGAGCGCTAAACTGGAAATACAGCAATGAAGAGAATCTGTGGGCTAGAACAGGGACAGTGGCCTTCCTAGAAAGCAGTCCTTGGGGAATGTTGGCTAAAAGAAGGCTGGGTATGCAGAATGTGGTCTCTGGGGAGACAGCAAGGCCACAGATTTAAGAGAATTGAGAGTTGAATTGACTTGATTCTGAGGGGCTTGTAAACCTAGACTTAGCAGTTTCCCACTTATATGATAGCTTTAGGGAAAGTCAAGAGAACAATTAAGAAAAGAAATTTGGCATTGGATGGAGGTGAGGTGGAAGGCAGCATTAGAAAAGACAGGAGGCCACAAAAGTCCAGGCACCAGTCCTGTTATACAGGATCACCAGCAAAGGCAAAAAGCACCCCTTTAAAAGCACTCCTGCTAGGCTGAAGAAGCAGAATAAAAAATATAAGCAAGTTTCTGAGGAGCAGAAATGCAAACAAGGACTACAGAAGACAGGGCAGGAAGTGTAGGAGAAAGAGACAGGAGGGTGTGGCTATGCACTTGAGTGGGGGAGGGCATAAGGACAGAGCCAGAAGTGAAGCCATCTCCCTAGATGCTGGGGAGGCCGGCCAAGGAATGAGGACCCGCACACAGGCCAAGGAGAAGGCACAAGAAGTGGCGGAGGCAGTGCACAATGGCTTTAGCTATGTTAGCTGAGGGGAAGTAAAGCTTTTCGCCTGAGCACTTAAAGGAGCTTAAGAGTGAACAGGGAATGTTGAGAAGGGAGAAAAAAAGACTACGGCTCAACAGAAACAAGATGAAAACAAGCAAGCGAGCAGCAGATGGGTGCTGCCAGATTTGCCTCTGCTGAGGTCAGAATTTGACAGGGCTTTGCAAAACTGGATGGTGTGGATTGGAAATGATTATGAACCTCCTTGTCAGTCCCTGGGAGCTCAACTGCTTCAGCCACTGCACAGCCAAAGCTCATTCTGCATGGCCTTGCTGCAGGCCAGAGTGTTGTCATTCAGGAGGAGACAACTTCTCTCAGATGTGTAAAACTGATAACCAATGAGGTCTGAGTGCTCCAGAGTGAAGCAGGCTGGGGGCATAATGCTCATCGCAGTCTGGAGACCCCTTTTCCTTGTTCTTCTGCAGGAGCACAATGAATTCAACTCTTCCATGGCCAGAAGCCAGACCAACACGGCCCGAATCGATGGGCTTCGGCCTGGCATGGTGTACGTGGTCCAGGTGCGTGCCCGCACGGTGGCTGGCTACGGCAAGTTCAGTGGCAAAATGTGTTTCCAGACTCTGACAGATGGTAAGGCAGGGTGGGGTGAGGGTGGGTGCAGGTGGGCAGAGGGCAGGCAGTGGGAATGGGGACCAGTGTGGGAGCAGCTGCAGTCACAGTCCAAACCCAAGCGCTCTGAAGGTTTGTCTCTCAGGAGAGAGACAAAGACTTGCTGGATGCCTGTATGTCCTCTGCAGTTGGGCCCAGCACTCTGCTAACCTCTGATTGGATCTTCCTTGGACAGTATCTGTGTCACACATTTGATTTTGCTTTAGCACTACAGTGAGACTCAAGCATGTCTCACGGCGTCCTCTCTCTTGCCTCTATGTGGAAGACCAAGCGCCTGTGCTGTTTTATCCTCACTCCCTTCTTATGCTTCTATATTTGGGGGTCTGGAGCTGAGCTCACAGCCTAAATGCAAGAGTCTGGATTCCCCAGGAAGAAAACAGAGATAACATTTGGGGGTGTGGCAGTCTTATAACCCCAGGATCTCAACACACCTGGAGCAGCTTCACATATGACCTGCAGTTGGTCCTACTCAGGTATCTCCAGAGACAACAGCAAAGTTCTTTGGAAGGCCAGAAAGCCTGTCCCTCCAAAATCTCCAGTTTGGGAGCTTTATTAGTTCTGTGTTATAATCACTTCCCCCAGCTCTTTGAGACCACTTCCTTCATTAGCTCTAACGCTTTGATTCTCTATAGCCTAAGCATATACATGGGCCTATCTACTGCTCTTTTCAGAACCAGCCACTTACCATAGTGTATGAATTCATTCCTCTATCTGCCTACCTACTGGTTTATTTTGATTTATTTACGATCTGCTGCTAGATAATTTGCCAAATGTCTGCCTATTCCTGACTCCTCAAATTGAAAGCATTTTATTTTTCATTTGTTAGTTAACTTACATAGGAAAAATATTTTGTGTTTAGCTAACATTCCCTTTTAGGCCCACACACTAAGCCTGGATGTTCCGTAGGATTTGAGGTTTATATTGGTTCACATTATATGTATTTTTAATAACTTTAAGAACTGCTGCTGAGTGTTGTGGTATGAGGACTGCTCCATAAGGAGCACAGGAGCTGCCCCAGATGGGGTCCCCACGTGGTGCCCCATGAGTCCCAGTGATTCACACCTGGATGTTTTGCTGTAAACTGTCAAGCCCCTGTGGAACCCAAGTTTCCAGCCTGTTTTGAGCTTATGTTAGCTAACTTTCTGTGATATTTTGTGGATGGAGAGATGGGGTAGAAAGGTGAGCCAGTTCATTGAGATTAATAATGCTGCTGGGATGAAAAGAATGCGAGCTGTCTGCTTCTCCCTGAAGGCCTCATCCCCCTCTCTGCACCTCACTTACCATCTAGATTTATAGGCACTTTGGCGTCAGAAGGTACACAGGATTAAAAGCCCAAAACTCAAAATGCTCTGTGCACTGGTCTCTTGGCAATTCTGCTAGACAAATCAAGAAGTAACAAATTTCTCCCAAGAAGGCTATTCCTTTTACATTTGGCAGTTAAGTTTTGTAGACCCAAGAGGAGCTAGATATAAGAGAGCTCTGGTAAGTGGCCAAATTTAGGAGCATTTATCTTAATGATGGAGGTTCACACATCAGTAGTGATCATGTTCACTGAGACCGCAGGTCCGTCTGCAGTGTAAAGGTGAGTCTGAAGGTTGATCAGCGATAGGGTTGTGTGGGGTTCCCACCCAAGTCAGTGGTCCCTACCAGGGGCATAGCCTTAGTGGTCCTAGCTTCTTAGCCACAGTATTCTGACCTTTGACTTAGTGCACTGACTTTTTTTTTTTAAACCATCCAGATTTCTTATTGTTCTATAAAGCTTTTAATTTATTAGGCATTGTGAATGACTCCTTACTGGGATTCCCTGCCCTTTATTTGAGGCCAAATTAATTTATTTTTAAATATACATTGTCTTCATTACTTTTCCCAGAACTCATAATTACTTTCCTCGTGAGACAAAATACCTAACACCAAAAGTTAAAAGAGAAAAATGTTTATTTTCACTCATGGTTTGGAGAGGTGTCAGCTTACAATCAGCGAGCTCCAACTAGTGGTGGGATGGCAGAGGGGCAGAGGAAAAACAGTCCATGGCAAAGCAGGCAGGAGAGAGTTAAGCAGCAAGCAGCAGCAGCAAGCCAGCCTTCTTTCTGTCCCTTTATATTCCATCCAGGCTACAAGTCTATTGATTGGTGCCACCCACACCCTGAGTAGGGCTCCCATTCATGTCTTTAATCCCAGTATCACACCCTTAATCCACATTCACACACTGTAAATTCAGCCACTTCTGAAAAGTCCCAGGGGTGACCACATAAAGCCTTGGAGGAACATCTGGATGCATGTCATAGCACACGTGCTGCAGAAAGCTCTCAGTTAAGGGCAACTGAACCTTTACTTTCAGTCTTTCCAGTTGATTCATATTGAGTGGGAAGCTCACAGGCCAATAGTCTTGCTTTTGGAAGTCTCTTTCTCAAGCCACATAGTTGAAGATGATTTGTAAGCACTGCAGGCATAAAACGCCACCAGAGTGTTGGTGAAACATGCCATTACCTTGCTGTTCACCAGAGGCTCTGAGCCAGTAGATCTCAGGAGGAGCCAGAAGTAAAAATTGCTTAACAATTGTGCTCATGGAATCCTGGTGCCTACTGCCTACCATGGGCGATCTCGCTTTAATAAGGATTGTCCTAAAGGTTGCCAGATAAATTATGGAATGACAAATTCAATTTTAGTTTCAGCTAAAGAACAAATAATGCTCTAGTATGAGTATTTCCCATGCAATATTTGGGGCATGTTTATGCTGAAATAATCGTCTTTGTTTGACAGAAATTCAAATGGAACTGATGGCCTTTTACTTTTACTTAATATATCTGACACCCTAATTATAGAAGACTGTAAATAACTCAATCTCCTATTGGCCAGGCAGATCAAACATTAGATAGTGGTTCCTTAATACCAGTGAAAGGAAAACCACAATAGTAGTGATGGCTAGTAGGGTCAAGTGGTTTATGTGGATTAAAGAAAAGAGAATTAGTATTTGGGGGCATCCATGATAGGTCAGACACTGAAATGTTCACACGGTCTGATCTTTTTATTTATTTATTTTCTAAAGACAGGAGGTCTGAGGGTCAGAGAAGCTAAGTAACTAGCCCAAGCTCATAAAGATTATGCTTAGAAATGCCAGGTTCAGACAAGCTCTGTCTGCCACATGATCCATGGCCTTCCCATTCTTCTTATAATGCAGCATGGTTTTAACATTTGGCAGAAGCCTCGATCGTTTTCTTGTCAAGTGGTTGGGGGCAACGGGCTGTTTCTTGAATGTTCCTTCATCCTCCACAGCACTCGTGTGCATCGTCCACCTCCACCCTTAAAGTGAAGTGCAGTGCTGGCTGACCACAGATAACTTCAGGTATCACCATGGTGACTGTGGATGATGCTGTGTGTCAACAGCTTCATGTTTCTGGAGACCCGTCAGCAGCAGTTTTCATCTCTCCACTGGGCTTCTCCCTAGTACGGTTGACGGTCCTTTGAGAGAGCTTCGAACAGGGTGGTGGAGAGGGGAGTCATCTTTGCTCCATGAACAAGTGGCAGCTCCAAGTCCCCAGATTCTCCCTGTCACTGTCATTTTGCTTTTGTTGTGATCTTTTATCTTTTGATTTTAGTTGCTTCTGTTTACTGGTGATCTAAAGATGACCCTGAATCATGGAGTCTGCAGCGTATCTATTCTTTGGTGTCGTGTACTGGGTGCTAAGTGTACGCAAAGGGCCTTTGAGAGGATGCTAATGTCACTTTCTTGCCTAGATGATTACAAGTCGGAGCTGAGGGAGCAGTTGCCCCTGATTGCTGGCTCCGCAGCAGCAGGGGTCGTGTTTGTCGTGTCCTTGGTGGCCATCTCCATCGTCTGCAGCAGGTAAGCTCTCCGCTCTCATCCCTTCCCCCTGTGCCCAATGAACCCTCCTCTGGGGCTGTGGAGATAGCTCAGTAGTCTAAGTGGCTGCCTAGGCAAATACAAGGACCCAGGTTCATTCCTCAGTACCACATGCCATGCTGGCCCCACCTCCCGGCACACTGAGCTGGCCACGAAGAAAGGACATGGTGGTTCATGCCTGTAATTCTAGAGCTGGTGAGGCTGAAACAGGAGGATCACTATGAACTACATAGTGAGACCCTGTACCAAATAATAAATAGATAAATAAATAAAGAAATAAATAAATTAATTAATTAATAAATAAAACCTCTTTATGTCCTTTCCTCTTCCTCGATGCCATCCTTTCCCAGAATGAACAGGGCACACAGGGCCTGACCATTCTGGAACATAATCTTCACTCCCTCTCAATCCATGGACCACCTAGAAATCTCCAGATTATTTATTCTCTTTGTGCCTGGGATAGAATTCTCTAGAGGAACTGGGAAAGGCTGTGAGTAAACAGCATCCATTCTCCAATCTCATCTTAGCCGAGACTTTTAGCCCCCCTCGCACACAGCAGCTTTTCAGAGTGACAGTTACAAAATTGCATTTGACCCACCGGAGCATCACTGCCGGCATACAGCACATCCTCTAGTTAGAGAGCTCAGGCCCTCTGTGGTGAGCAAAAGGCAGGCAACCAGAAGGGGCGAGGAGGAGGAAAGAGGAACTCCAGGTTCTACACAAGGATTGGCCCTGAAGGCCTTGTGAATTTTTAATGCTGTTTGCCTTGGCCTTGGGTGCTTAGCCAAGATATGTACATTTTGCAAAGCCCTGTAATTTACTCCCCGCTGAGCTGCTCTGCTGCATACCTGAGTGCTGAAGGGAACCCTCATCACCTCTATCCTCTCATGGGAGCCCCTAGTGGGCCAGGCTTCCGTAAGACTGTGACTTTTAGGTAGACTCATCTGTCCACCTTGGTCAGTAGTTGCCAACCAGAATGCCACGCAGGGAAAGAACAAACCCTTAAAGGATGGTTACCCAGTTCCCAGGGTGAACCCCCATCTGGATCTGAGGCCTGGGTCCATCCCTGCTGAGAAGGAACCTTTTTTCTGTGTCCACAGGAAACGAGCTTATAGCAAAGAGGCAGTGTACAGTGATAAACTTCAGCATTACAGTACAGGCCGAGGTGAGTATACAGTGCACATCCACCACCTGACCCCTGGAAACCACTGAATCAGCAGGCTGGTTTGTACAGAGAACCTCTGGCCTGTATTGGCTGATCCAACAGCAAGTCGCCTACCAGGCTCAGCACCCAGGCAGACGCCTCTTTCTGCAGGTCCTAGTGGACCACAGGCTGCCTCATCCATCTTCCATCTGCCCTTTGAGGGGCCTCATCGGGCGCCTGGTGGGTACATTGCCTTTTGCCTTGATAAGCCCATATAGGATGCCAGAAGAAGATTGGGTTTAGCAAGTCAATGAATCCTGAAATCAGACTCAGTGGGAAAAAAGGATGAAGAGTTCTCTATTAACATCTTCGGCCTTATCTTATCCAATTGAGCGGCTGGGGAATGCGCTAACCAAATTCACAGATAAGCCATGGAACATGAATGCAGGGAATTAAAAAGATAGCAGAGCCCAAGAGGCCAAAGTGCTGGGATATCTCCTGAGTGTTTTCTTTTTAAACAGTGCCTTTAAAAGTTTTTGTTACTCATTATCCTACCTGTCTCTTTCTTTTTTAAACCAGTGTCTAAAAAGTATTTTCTTAAGTAAAATTTCTCTTCACCAATGTGCATCATAAAGTTCAATATCAAAAGTTTTCCTTCCACATAATGACTATAACACTGCAGGAAGCAGAACACGTCCTTTCAGGTCAGCTGGGCTGCCTGCCGGCCTCCGGAATTGGCGCGCTTAGATCCTTACTGCAGATGTGTTCTGCACCTAGATAACTCCTTCGGTTTCCACAGCTGCCCTCAGCACTTTGCCCCAGCACTCTGCACTCTGCTCTGTCACAGGCTTTCTCTGCAAGCCGTGTCTCCCCTCAGCCCTCTGACCCCAGTGGAAGCCCTTTTTCTTCCTGTTCACTCAACAGTGAGTTCAGCAGATATATCTCAGAGCACGTATGTGAAGCATAACCTCTGGCCTCAAGGCAAGAAAGCAGACTGTGAGGCCAGAGCCCTCACAGACCACACTGCTACCCTTCTCCAAGGTCACCTGGGGAAGAGAGGTGACACTGGTGTTCATAGCAGCAGCCATACCAGGAGGAACTCGTGTCCTGGTGCTACCAGGGCTGGTTTTGGGCTGTATGGAGGCACTCTGTAGATATAACTTTCAGCCCAAGGTCAAGACCCTGCCATGCATTAGTAGATGACCGAGCCCCTGGTAGCTGGGCCGCTTTGAGACCAGTGGCCCCTGGGAGGAGCCATGGGCTGCTCGCTGGTGCAGTGCTGCAGCTCCTGTCCAGGGTGGTTCAGCGGCTCACATGGTACCATCTTGGACACCACAAGCACTTCCCGATGCACTGAGTCCTGTTTGTCCCCCTCTGCTCCCTCAGATTCTGGGCCTCCTTTGCTACTCATTTCTGAGGGCGCCCCCTACTGTATCCTCTCATTTCTTGCATCCGGGTCTGCACTCTACCTTGTAGCAGAGTTGCATGTGCCTTTACTTGGGTGGATCTGTGCTTGCTGCTTCCAGCCAGGGCCTCAGCTCTCCCAGCTGCAAGGCAGGGGCTTCGGTGTACATTATTTCCAGGTGTTATACACTACTGAGCACTTCAGAATTACCCCAAGGGCTTTCTTCTCCCACGTCCATGCCTCTATTGCAAGTTTCTACCATCACCTCTCCATCCACTCTGAGTTCACTTCTTGCCATCATAAGCCACTATAAGGTCATTTTCAGATCTGGAATCCTCTGAACTGTGTGATGCGGCATTGAGAAATGATCATGTCAACCTGAAAGAAGCATCAGGACTCTGGGGATATAGAGAATTTGGTTCAAAGGAGAAGTCTCACTTGGAAGCCTACAGATTTCCAAAGATGTCATAGCTTGAGTTGGACAAGAGGTCTCTTTCAAAAGACGTGAAAACTAAGCCCTGGGGCCACTCCTTCAGGTGGACACAGAAGGTCCCCAAGCACCGACAGGTAGAGTAGGGTGTAACTTTGGCTGCTAAATCCCTCATCCGGGTTGCTTTTGAGAAGAAGCTGTGCTGGGCTACCATGTGGCAACCACATGTACAATGCTGGGCGTCCAAATAAATCACCTTGCAGGTGCTCTATCACTTTAAAGCCTAGCAGAAAGAGGTTCGCTTGGTCTTCGATTAGCCACTATTCCTCAGACTCAGATGGACCCCAAGTTGTGCCGAGGTCTGAGTCCAGTTCCTCAGCTACCTTGGAAGTCTGCAGGTTTTATAAATATCCTTTCCCTCTACTCATAACTTCTCTACTTTTACCCAGTCCCTGATGCTTGGCTCCTCCTTGTGCCTGGGTTCCTTAAGCTCAGCGTCTCATGCACTGAACTGTATTCATGCATTTTTTCTCTTGTGAACATCTTTCTTCCTGATGAAATCTATTACAGAGCTGTTGGAAAATCATCACCAGAGGACTGTGGAGCTGAGTGAAGGCTAGCACACAAACAGCCAAAGAGAAAACCAAAGCTCTGATGGCAGAGGAGCCTGGCCAACGAGGGAGTGGAGGCAGGAGTGATGGGCTAGAGAAGGCCTCCTCTGTGCCCTGCACTGGGGACTTTACTCTGCTAGCTCATTTAAACATGGCTGACCCTCACAGCCACTTTAGGAGACAGGCGTTGATCTAGGAGGATGAAGTGACTTCCCCAGGGCACACAGCTCCCTGCAGGCAGAGGTAAACTGCACACCTTCTGAATTTGGCTGCCAAGCTCATGTTCCCTTCACATTGCAGAGACTATGCAAGGCACCTACCTGGTCTTGAGGAACAGCTTAGCAACTAATCCCAGATACTCCATCTGGTGGTCTGCGAGTCTCCCAGACCCCAAAATCTCAAAAGTGCCTGATCTTGAATGTGTGCTCCTAACTGCACTTGCAGCAGCCACATGTGTGCACCTGTGTGGTGTATGGACAGCAACCTGTAACCCAGAGGATTTCGTGACCCAAGAGTGACAGATAATGTGTAGCAGCTGCTCATCTCTTTTCACCAGTGCTCAAGAAAGCCCCCTCTCTATCTCTCTCCTGCAGGCAGAGCACAGAGCACTTAGGAGGAGCTGCTGGCCCCTTCCTTCCCAGAGCCTCCTTTCAAATTGATGCGAAGGCTGAAGGAGACAAAAAGGAAAGGTGTGCAGTTTCCCTTCACTAAGCAGTCATGGTTAGCAGATCTAGCAAATCTGAGGACATAATCTGCTCTCCACAGACCCTGGAGCTTGGAGAACAGGAATGTAAAGGGGCTCTTGAATTTGGAAACAGTCTAGCAAGAAGGCAGGCTGGGAAGAGATTGTGCTGATGTGATGCTGGATATTCTAAGAACCAATTAGGCAAGTTCCTTATTCAAGAGTGAGTGGGAGGAAGGGTGGATGGGTTCCCCAAATCTAGGAAGGGGCAGCAGACATTGTGTTTGCCAGGTCTCAGAAAGTGCTGCCTGCCTAAAAATGACCTGGGCAGAATAATCTGAGTAGGCTTCTGTAGGCTTGAGAATCTAGAAAAGGGATAACTGATCTTTACATTTACAAAAAGCAAACTGGTTCTGAAAGAGCTTGGGTACCACTTTTTAAATAGTGGCTGAGAACTCCCTGATTACTGACTTGGATAGAGTGAGTAGGACTGGCGAGAGGGAGGGAGGGGCTTGTTAAGGGGTCAAGGGGTTTCAAAAGGAGCCCTAATAAAATCGCCTCTGTAGAGGCAACTGCTGATAAAATCACAGGGCTACTTCTGTTGTTAAATTTGGCAAAAGGCATCAACAAGTGGGGTATGCCCAAGGACTTGAGATCAGAAGACTCCAGTGTTTTACTTAAGACAAAACGAGAGGGCGCAGAAAATACAAGAATGTGAACTCAGTTCCAACCAACACTGGAAGACTGTGAGGTAGATTGGTTTGGTCATTTAAACTTCAATTCAGAAATCATTAGAAGCCAGTGAGGATTCATTAAGAAAAAAAATTATAAGGACCTCTTCTTGTTTACTGAGGTTATAAACTTAGTAAATTCGAGAGAATTGCACAAGTAATGAATTTTTACTTTGACAAAAAATATTTTATAATCTGCTAAGTGAAAACATTGTTATTCAGATACTGGGCTTTTCTTTGAAGCCAAAGAAAAGTGAGTTGTGACTTGCCAGTCAGAAATTCCCCAGTGTCATTCTGGTCCTTGTCCTCTTCAATCTCTCATTTGTTTGATTGTTTTTTAACTTTATGAGTCAGATGCAAGCACAGGGATGCTGATCAAATTTGTAGGTAACAGTTGGAGAGCATAACTAACAACATAAAAGACAGAATCAGAATCCAGAACTATCCAACAGCTTTAAATGCTAATTTGAAATCTGCAAGACAAAACGTTAGCGGGATAAATCTGGAACCTAGTGTTTAGGTTAAAACAAAAAAGCAGCAATACAAATAGAAAGAAACACGACTCGCTATTCATTGATGGGGGATTTAAGTATTTCGTTTGCCAAATGCTTAGCATCAGTGCCGTTATAGTTGCTCTGATATGAGAAATCCAAAATAGAAATAAATTTAAAAAGAAAAATAAGAGAATTGACAGGAAACAGGAAGGTAGCCTTTGTGGAGAAGGGCTCTGGAGAAGGGGAATGGGAAGCTAAGGAGGGAAAGGAAAAATGACTAAGTTTTTTTGTATATTTACCAATTCTCCAAGATGAATGCAATTCATAAATGCATACATAATATCATAAATGCATACATACAATATCATACATACATACAATACATGCATACATACAATACATGCATACATACAATACATGCATAATATCATAAATGCACACATACAATATCATACATACAAATGCATACATACAATATCATAAATGCATATATAATAAGAAAGAAACTAAAAAGAAAGTGCTACCACTAGTAAACCCCACCAATTTTGAGCACTTACTGTTTTAAACACTTTACATATCTTAATTGTTTAATTCCCCTGGCAGCCTCAGGAGGTACATTTTGTGTTTGAGGAAGCAAAATCTCAAAGAGGACAAATAACCTACTCAGT